TGGACAGTGAAAAATCTTTTATATGTTCCACACTGTTTGATCCTGAGCATTGTCTTTCAAACTGCTTATGGGTGTTTGCATTCACCTTCTAAACCCCTTGTTAACACATTTAGCCTCTTTTACTTCGTGACCTTTTTAATTACTTTTAAAAAACCTGACAGTGCCCCCTCCCAACTACCTTTCCTTTCTCTAAATATCATCTGTCTTACCTTTTCTTACTTACCTTTCCTTATCAACTATCTTCTTCTCCTTTAGTCTTTCTAGGCAGGTCCTTCCTCCCTCATCCTTTTCCTTCTTCAGACAGAATCTTTCACATCTAGCCCTTCTCCTCCCTTAGTTCACGCTGTTCTTAACTTTTCCTCAAATTCTTCTAAATTTCTTCCCCTCAAATTCAATCTCTAACTTTATTCACTAGATAAATAATTCCAAGTCACCTCTACATTGTCCTTCTCCCTCTTATTTAACTCAAGTCTTTCTCTTGACTATTCTGCCATACAAACTTCACCTTCAGAGGTTGGAAGTAGGAAGAAGTTAATGTTAGGCCTCCTTCATTCTTATTCTTTTTTTCATTCTTTTCCATGGACATTCTTAACCTTTTGTTCCTCATATTTTTATTATTTTGCCTAGATCAGCAAAGTATCCCCTTGAGAGTTTTAAATGGTATCACTAAATTTGTAAATTAATTTATGTAATATTGCCATTTTATTGTACTGTCATCATCCAGGCATGAATAATGACTATCTCCAATTGTTATGTCTTCCTTTATTTCCATAAAGAATTCTTTCTAATTCTACTTATTTAAGTCCTGAGTGTGTACTGGTAGGTGTCACAAATGTTATGCATTATGCAGTTATTTTGAATGGAATTTCTCTATTGCTTCCTTTTCAATTTTGTTATTAATAATAATAAACAAAAAGGGTGCTTTGTGGGTTTATTTTGTACAGGGTGTTTGGAAAGTCTTGGTGTAGTTTTAAGCTTTTAATAACAGAAAACAGCTTGCAGTTTTCTGTAATTTCTGCTAACAGAAATTAAGACTTTTGGGATACCCTACTTTATTGAACCTATTATTTTAATTTTTTCATTGAATCTCGGGTTCTATAAGTAAAATATCTTACCATTTGCAAGTACAGATAATTTTACCTCATCTTTATCTATACTTATTTCCTTAATTTCTTTTTTGTTTTATTGCCATAATTAGATTTTCACTCTACATGAAATAATAGCTGGGCATCAGACAACTTTGCTTTACTCTGATCTATTAGGAAAGGTTCTATTGTTCCTCCATTACAAATTATACTACCTTTTAGCTTTGAGAAAAACATTTTTGATTATATTAAGGAAAGATTTTTATTATTATGTTTTTAGTGCTATTACTATAAATTAGTGTTGTATTGTGTCAAATATTGTGTGCATCTTTTCACATAATTATATGATTTGCGTTATTTTTATCAAGGTAACTATGTCTACTATTTTTCTAACGGTGAATCACTCTCACATTCTTGCTATAAATAAAACCTAGTCATAGCAACTATTTTGAATATGTTGCTGAAGCTTCTTTGTTATCATTTTAATATTTCTTTTGCTGCTTAACATCCCCTAGGTTTGGGTGTCAGGACCATATTTGTCCAACAGAAGAAGTTTGCCAAGGTGCCTTCTTTTTCTGTTTTTGTGAAAACTTTATGTATTATATCCAGATTTCAGTCAGTACATTACAGTCTTCCATGAGATCTGTGTTTGTCCTATATCTTCTCTAATTACTTCCATTATTGCTAGATAGTGATGGGAGATCAGAATGACTCTCATCCATGAATCTATTACACTCATTTGAAATGAATTCTTATTAGTAGTTGACACCTCAATACCCCCATAATTCTGCCATCTCAGGGCATTCCCCTACAAACAGACAAGTTGATACCCACAAGAACATCACATACTCTTAGAAATATGAAAGATACTGGCCTTTCTCCCCAAACCAGTGCCGAAGACACTAGCCCAGAAGGAAAGACAAATTCATGATATAAGGGAAAGGGGGCATGACCAGAGATCCACAAGTGAGAAAGGGATATCAGAGGGGTGTAGGTGTCTGAGTTTCAGCCTGCAAAGTTTAGTTCTGAGAGATAGGTGGAAAGTTGAGCTAGACAAAGTGTAAGATGGTAATTTGTAGATTTACACTGCTGCACAGGCACATGCAATTTTTGAGCTGATAAATCCACCACCTAATCTGGTCCTTCCAACTTTCCCAAACTCCCACCAGCTCAGAAACTCATGTTTCTGCGATTATCCTTAGCCTTCATGTAATCATCCATATCGTTATCATATATGTAATCCTTTCTATCCTGCTTCCACTCTCATCAATGCATATTGAATTCATTGAGCAAGAGTTTTAGATCTAAGATTCTGATTCTTTGTTGTTGTTCAGTTGTTTTTCAGTCATGTCTGACTCTTCATGACCCCATTTGGGGTTTTCGTGGCAAAGGTACTGGAGTGGTTTGCCATTTCCTTCTCCAGCCCATTTTATAGATGAGGAAACTAAGGCAAATGGGGTTAACTGACTTGCCCAGGGTCACACAGCTAGTAAGTGACTGAGGCCAGATTTGAACTCAGGAAGATGAGTCTTTCCTAACTCCAGGCCCAGCACTCTATCCACTGCAATATCTAGCTGTCCTCCTATGATTCTTCCTCAATACTTCCATGAATCTGTTACCTCAATGATGCGGGTATTTTCTCCACTAATACACATTACAGCCCATCCATGCCTTCTCATCCTGTACAATTCTTGTCCATGTTCTTCCATAGGCCTAATTCTATGATTCCAAGTCCTTATGTACTGAGGATGTACCTTCAGGGTTACAAAAACTAAAGAAAGAACGATATGGATAAACAATAAGTCTCTCCTTCCCTAGGAGCTCTATCTGCTCTTCCTCACTAGACAACTCTTTCTTCTATCTACTGGAAGGGCTCAGTACAGTACAGCATAGTCCCCCAACCTCCACAACATTCTATGTGGGAATTCTGATGGCAAGAAAAAAGAGGAGGAGTTCCTGCCACTGTCTGGAGAGTACAGCAGGAGAGCAAGAGTCCCTTAAAGAAGCCTACTTTATGGCTTTCATCTTCTCAGAGACTTGTCCGTTCTCATTTCTCTAATGTGTTCTCTGCTGCCCTATGGAGGATTCCAGGTTTATGGGTCTGCGTTAGATAACTCAGTAGATGGCCTGGAAGGGCACACTTCAAGTCAACAAATACATATTAATTATATACTATATGAAGGGGAATCAAACTAAGTGCCTGATATATGAATACAAAAGCACAATTACCCCTTCCCTCAAGAAACTTACATTCTATTGACAGATGGCACATTAAAAGGGATATGCATTAAGGCTTTATTTCCAAATACAATAGCAAAACGGCAAACATTAATATGACAAATATTGAGAGCATATTGTATGATGACTTAGATAAGGAAATTCAAAACAGCAGCTGAAAAATGTACATCACTTTGACAGCCCTCAAATACAATCTTACAATCTGCAAACAGGATGTGAAGAGGAAAAGGTGAACACAAAGGAACTGAAGAGCCCACCTACCATGGTAAAGAAACAAACAAACAAAAATCATTAGGGAAATTAACTAAGGATAGAGGAAAAGGACAAGAGAAAATATGAAAAGATAAGCAGAGATTCATAGAGGCAGGCTGTCATCAAAATCCAAGCCCTTGTCCTTTTGTAACAGGGGCTGGCCAATGAGTTGTGGGATCGTATCTGGTTGGTAAGCCTGCTTCTGGAAGTGGCTGATAATGCAGAATGATGCTAAGTGGCCCTTCTCCCCTTTAGAGCCTTAGTTCTCTGACTACTTCTAGTGCATTTACTGCAAGCCTTTTTTTTGACTGGTGGCTGAACTGGAACTGGATTTGCATACAAAAGACTGACCTGCCTGGCTGACTCAAGTGAGGAAGACAAGCTGTAAGGCTTTGTGTGGGGAGAGAAGCTTGGGAGACATCTGGAATATGAAGATGAATATGGTTTTCTGGGTTTTTGTGTGTGTCTTTGAGGTTTTTCTTTCCTGCTCCTTTAAGGTGAAGGAAAATCAGACTAGGCTACAGCCTTGCCAGCTTCAAAAGGTCAGGCGAGAGAGCTGCCATGTGTCTAGGAGCTAGAGCGTGTGCCAGACTTTGCAAACAGCTGAGCCTGGAGAACCTCCTATGAGGCTCTTAAGAGCAATTTAAGGGTCTTTGTCCAGAGGTGGACTGATCAAGAGACTTTGTGCCTTGTCTTAGTGCAAGACGATAACTTATCCAGTGGCCCTGTTGAATTCAAAAAGTGAATTTGTGGGTTGAACGTTCATAGTCACTTTAAATTTGAGCCAATTCTTCCCAAGGACCATAGTCGTAAAAGGGGCAATGTGCTTCTATTGTGGGGGGAAATGATTTGCATTTCTGTTCTCTCTTTCCTATCTTGACACCTTGTTGAAACAGTCCAACTCTATACCATCCTCTACACTTAAGTCCCTTACTCCCACATCCCATTACTGATCATACCTTGCCAAGATTCATCCTTGGATTATTTTCACCATCTGTTGCCTTCACTCTTTTCACACGCTGCTGAACAAAACTGGAGAAAATCATGAAACTGTGAAGAACAGGTCCACTATAAATTTGTGACACAACCTCAAGTAGGCACTCATTATACCAAGGCAATTCTCTTATGCCTACAAAGCCGAATTCATTATCTTTCCCTAAAACTCTTCCCCTCTTTCCAACTTCCCTATTGCTATCAAGGGCACTAGCATACTTATGGTCACACAGGCTCACAACCTGGGTGTCATCCTCAACTCCTTCACCTTCACTCACCTTCCACATGTAATCTGTAGCCAAAATTGTGATTCTACCTTTGACTCCTCTGACACAGCCTCCACCCTGGTGCAGGCCCTCAGAGTCTCATTCTGGACTACTGCAATAGCCTTCTAGTTGGTCTCCCTGAATCAAATCTCTCCCCACTCCATTTCCTTCTCCATTCAGCTATCAAAGTGATCTTCCTAAAGTACAGATAGGACCATGTCACGCACCTACTCAACAAACTCTAGCGGTTCCCTGGTGCCCTGGCATCAAATGTAAAATACTGTGTTTGACTTTTAAAGTCCTTCAAAGTCTGGCCCCTTTCCACCTTTCCAGCATTCTTATACTTTATTTTCCTCTACATACTGTATCATCCAGTGACACTACTCTCTTGCTGCTCTTGCACATGACACTTTATCTCCTGACTGTGTCTTTTCACTGGCTGTCATCTATTCCCAGCATGCTCTCTGTCTGATTACTTCTGCCTCCTGGCTTCCCTGGCTCCAATCCCACCTTCTGCGAAAGGCCTTTCTGAATCTCTCCTCAGTGCTAGTGCCTTCCTTTTGAGCGTAACTTCAATTTACCCAGTATATATCTTGTATGTATAAGATACCGGCTATTGACTTGATTTTAACATATCTTCTCAGTAAATATTCCTCTCTAAAAGGTAATTGACTTTAACTGGTAAATGATACCGAAGTGCTAATGACTGGAGGTTACTGATGATAAAAGGGAGATACTAATTGTATCTGGCAATTGAAATTGCAGAGCACGCAAGAATGGGAGACTTAGCTTATTGCACTGGAAAAATATCCTGAATCCCACAAGGGTAGCCCTAGAACTATGAAGGGAAGATGTAGTTAGCCAACCTTGTTCTTGGAAACCTTACCTGCTAGTGTATGATTAAGAGTTAGATTAAAGATTCTCAGAGCATAAAAGGATTTTTTAATTTCTGAATTGTTATAATAAACCTCTAACCCTCTGCCTTAACATCCTGAATACAGTTAACAACTTAATCATCCTACAATACTAATTTCATCATGTCTTTTCTAGCTTTAAAAACGCTAATCCTTATCCTTTTCCCTCCACTTGTCCCCAGGATAAAGTTCCAAATCCTCAATCAGGTATTTTAAAGTTCCACATAGTCTGAAGCCCTAGAGAAGAGGTGAGAGCGATGTCTATTTACATTAGAGCTTTACAGGAATCTGCTAAATGCCATTCAAGGCAAGCTGAGAAAGGTAGCCCTTAAAAAGGTGAAAAAGGCCACAGCACATAAATAAAGCCCTGTCAGGGTAGGCAGAAGGGTGGCAAGCATGCAATTTACTCTGTAGATTGCTCCAAGATTTGGTCATGAGAGTTACTAATAAGGAATAACAGAGGGCTTGGACTCTTCCTTCCAACTAGTGTAAAGGAAAGGGTTCATTTCACAATGACTTGCAGAAAGTATATTATGTTACAGTGTAACATGGTAAGAAATTATTTTGATGTAAAAGAAATGTTGAAATGAGAAAAGAGTGAATATTAAGAGGGATCAAATATGAAGGGAGGCATAGCAGGGGTGTCACGGTGCTTGTCTTGAATCTCTCTTCCCACAACCTTCTTAGAATTAGGCTTGAGGATAAGTGGAAGACAGCCTTTCTGATCTGGTTTACACAACAGGTATACCTGGTCATGTTCTTTGGGTTATATAATGCACCTGCAACATTCCAAAAGTTGATCAATTAGAATATACTGAACCAATATGTCATGGCATATCTAGGTAATACCCTGATTTTCTCTCATCCTGTCCAGGCATATGTCATTTGACCCGTGACTTGCTCACCCAGTCCCTTTGCTAGGGTTTCTGTTGCAAAACCAAGAAGCGCATTTTTAATCAGAATCAGGTGACTTTACTGGGGTTTGTACTAGGTCCAGAAAGACTACAAAAGGATACAACAAATGTATATACACTATGCAAATCCAAGTTCTATAAGCCAGATTCAAGTCCTTATAGATTTTTCTAGAAATGGGAAATTTCTATAGTCAATTCATTCTAGGCTACTCAAAACTGACAGAACCTCTTACTGTAGTATTAAGGAATAGGACATCGAATAAATGAGGAGTTCAGAAGGAAGGGAGACTTTTTAGCCTTGAAAAGAAAATTCATTGCTGTGTTTTTGCTGGGAAAATGGTAAACCTAGTTATCTTTTTTTTTTTTTGGTGAGTGGGGATAGATTCCTTTCAGGTAGCTTTATACTTGTCAGAAAAGGAAGATTTACAAGAACCTCAGGTGGCTTGCGGGGACTTTGTTATTCCTGTCAGCTGAATTAATAAATCAATAAGTACTTATTGAGTGCCTACTATGTCCCAGGCACTGTGATTGATGCTGGAGATAACAAGGCAAAAGCGAAACAGTTCCTGCCCTCAAGTGGCTTACATTCTAGCTGGGGAGAGAGACACAAGCACGTGAACATAAATATTTATTCAAAATATAGGCAAAATAAACACAAGTTAATGGTGGGGCCACTAGCAACTAAAGGAATCAGGAAAAGCCAGTGCTTGAGATAAGTCTTGAAGGGAACTAAGGATTCTAAGAAGTAGAAGTGAGAATGAAGGGCATTCCACACATGGGGAAAAGCCCATACAAAGACACAGAGATGGGAAATGGGTATTTGAAGCCAGTTTGACTAGATCAAAGAGTAAATTAAAGGAGTACGGTAAGGGGCAGAAAGATAGGTTAGGTCCAAGTTTTGAAGGGTTTTCAATGCCAAACAGAGGAGTTTATGTTTGCTCCCACAATTAATGGGGAGACAGGGGAATTTACTGAGTAAGGCAGTGACATGGCCAGAACTGCCCTTTAGAGAAATAGCTTTGACAGCTATGTAGGGGATGCATTAGAGAGGGAAGAAATTTGAGTTAAGGAGACCAATTAGGAAGTTATTGCAAAATCCAGGTGACAGGTGATAAGGGCCTGAATTGGGGAAGTGGATGCGTGGGCAGAAAGAAGGGGATGGATTCAAGAAGGAACTACATCCTTATGTATTGGGAACTAATAGCCATTAAATCTGCCCTGGAAACATGATGGTGCCACTTGGAGAAAGCTTGCCACCCAGTAATATTCCTGACCACTAAAATTCAGCCTGTTTTAATGAAAACTGGATCTTATCTGCTTGCCATTCCTGGCTAACTCTTGTTTTCATGAGTTTTTCACCAGGTACAAGTTACACATCGGTAGCTTGAGGAGAGGCCCAAATGCAGCTACTATTTGCCTCAAGGTATGCCCAAATGAGACTTTTCAGAAGAGGTTCCTAGCATCACCACACAACCAGGAAGAGGAATGCTTGTTCACCATGTTGCTCAGTAAGCCAGACATCTCTGAGGGAAAGGGGAGAACCAAGAACCCAATCTGCTGGCAGAAAGGGTGGCCAGACTAGGCCTAGACAGCCAATCCTATAGGCTACACTCAAAGCTGCAACGAGTGCCAGGGCCCCAAAAGTGCTCCCCAAAAACAAAGAGGGCTCCTGTAGCCATTGGCAGTAAATTGACTATAAACTGGGTGGAGAATGATAACTGATTTGTCACAGTCATAAATATAGTGCACTAGAAAGATCTCTGAACTTAGAGTCTGAATACCTGGGTTCAAATCTGGCTCTGACATTTACTAGCTGAATGACCATGGGCTGGGTTAGCCGCTTACTCTCTCTCAGTCTTATTTTCTCATCTATAAAACACTGACACCCCCTATTTCACAAGTTTGTTGTGGGGCAAGCACTTTCTAAAACTTTAAATGACATTAAAATATGAATGACTGCTCTCCTCATAGCAGATTATGTCTGTAGAATGTGCCATTGATTCTGTCATAGCACACAGATAATATGGTAAGCAGCATCACTCCCTTGCATGGGCTTCCAGCACAGCTCATCTATATGAAGGCCCATAGCTGGCCAAAAACCATCAGAAGAGTCTACAGAAACGATCACCTCAGCACTGCAACCACAAGCTGGTGGTCAGAGTCATGCAAAGCAAAATTTTAAAATAAATATGAACAAATATTTGAACGTTTATTCTTTGCTGCACCAACACACACACACATAAAGGCCCATCCAGTTCCTTCCAATGGAAGAACTTGCCCAAAACAAAAACAAAAACCCAAAGCTATATATCCTCTTCTTAGCTCATCTTTCCAGGTCGCTGATTTGCAGGATCTTCATCCACATGCCTCTCTACATGGGTATACCCCATGGCTCTGCCCTAAGCCTCTTCTCTTTTCTCTCTATACTCCACCTCTTGATGATCTTGTAAGTTCTCACTGGAAGAGTTATTTTTATGCAGAATACACATATCTAGTCCTCATTTTTCTTTTGAGCTCCAGTTCTATATCACCAATTGCCTGCTGGACATCTCTACTGTATGTCCCATCTGCATCTCAAACTCAGCATGTCCAAGACAGAAGTCATTATCTCTCCCCGCAAACCCATTCCTCTTCATTTTCTTATTTTGTCAAAGGCTTCACCATCTTTCTAGTTTCACAGATTCATTACAAACTTAGAGTCATCTTTACCTCTCCATTCTTCTTCACTCCTCATAACCAATGAGTTGCTAAATCTTGACGATTCTGCCACCACATCATCTCTCATATCTGTCCTCTTTTTCCTACTCACAAGCTCACAGCCTTAGTTTATGCCCTCATGACATCTCACATGGATTGCTGTGGGTTTTTTTTAACCTGGACTATTGCGATAGTCTCCTAATTAGGTTGTAAAGATTAAAAGAGATGATGTAACTACAGTGGCAATATGGATAGAGCACTGGGCTTGGAATCAGGAACACTCATCTTCATGAGTTCAAATCTGGCCTCAGACACTTACTAGCTGTGGGACCCTGGGCAAGTTACTTAACCCTGTCTGCCTTAGTTTCTCATCTGTAAAATGAACTGGAGAAGAAAAAGGCAAACCACGTAAGTATCTTTGCCGAGAAAACCCCAGCGACTGAAATGACACAGCAACAACAATAAAATTACAGACCTAAAAGCAGTAGGTATGTGTGTGTATATCAGTTGTTATTATTATTACTAGATTTCCCTATTTCCAATCTCTCCCCTTTCCAATTTATCCTCCAATGTTCCCACAGTTGATATTCCCATGGCAAAGGTGTAATCATGTCACTCCTGAGCTCAAGAACCTTCAGTGAGTTCTGCCCAAAGGGTAAAATACAAACTCTTATGGCATTTAAAGCCTTTCACAGTCTGGCCCCAATCTCTACTTCCAGACTGATTTCACATCATTCCACTTCATAGATTCCAGCCTCATTATATTCTAACGAAACTGGCCTCCTAGCTGTACCCCATACACACTATTTCATTTTCCAATGCCCTTTCTTTCAAAGGCTCACTTCCTCACTTTGTCTTTTTGGAATCCCAGCTCGCTCCACAGTGCAGCTCAGAGGCCACCTCTCATTTAAGGCTTTTCCTGCTACCCTAGTTGTTATTGCTTTCCGACCCCCAAAATTACTTTGCGTTTACTTTGTATTTACTTATCTGTGTATACATTGCACTGTCCTGCAAAATGGAAGCTTCTTGGGGCCAAGAACTGTGTCATATTTGTCTTTGTATGCCCAGCTTAGCATAATGCCTTGAACAAAATAGGTGCTTGATAAACATTTGTTGAATTGAATTGTTTCATCCAAAAAATTTTCCCAGTAGATAAAGCAACCTTGGTGCACTGGTAACAATACCTGCAGATGGGAATCAGAGATATTCTATCACCACTGAGACAGGTACAGGAAAAAGGAGCAACAATTTATAAAAGTTCTACTTATTAGAACTTGGAGACCAGATCTGGTTGAATCATATACACCTCCCCACAGATATTAATACATGTAACCAAGGGAAACCAAGAGAACAAAGGGATGAGAAGAACTGCATTTATGAATAATTGTGCCACCTTTCCAGAATGCAGAGGTGTTTAGCTGGGAATATTTAAGGAGAATAAGTGTAATAACTACTGCCCACAGCCCTGCTGCCTTTGGGAAAAATGGGCTTGTTATTAGAGAATAGACCCAAGTAAGTTTTCAGAGCATGGGGAGGTGAAGTTTCACCTGCGGTTATCCTGGAGCATTTGTGTGTGCTCCACCGCGGGGCTGACCTATCTGGTGTGAGGTCTCCAGCTCAGGAAGAAGCACATAGGGCATCTGTGAGGTACAGCTATGCTGGCTAATGGTGAGAGAAGACATAATGGTAAAGGGGCACACTGGCAACAGAACCCTTAGGGGTCGGTGGCCTGGCCTGGGATGGGAAGTTAAGGGGTGGAAGAACAGGCTTCACTTTCCCAGGGCAATGACCTCCAGAGGGGCATGCTTCATCCACAATGTGGTTCCACTCACTTCACAGCCCCATACCTGCACTCTGCGACCTGGTACAAGAGCCCTATACAGAAAGTGCACCCCCTCAATATCAACCCCATCAGGCAAATGCCCAGAGGCCCCAAGCTAGATAGAGCTTTGTTTTTCCCTCTCCCTTAATTATCAATTATAATTTGTTAACAAGTCTTGTAAATCCCATCTCTAAGATATCTCCCATATCCATCCTCTTCTATTTCCATTGCCACCATTATAATACAGGCCTGTCTGACCACAACTTGGACTATTACAAAATCTTCCATGTTTTCCCACCTTCATCTTTTCTCTCCTCCAATCTATTCTTCATACTCCTTCTAGATTGATCTTCCACATACATAAATCTGGTTGTGTTACTTCATTGTTCAATGTTGGGGCAGCCAGGTGGAGCGGTGAAATAGAGCACTGGACCTGGACTCAGGAAGACCTGAGTTCAAATGTGGCCTCAGATATTCACTACCTGTGCGACCCTGGGCAAATCACTTAACCTCTGCTTGCCTCAGTTTTCTCATCTGTAAAATAGAGATAATACTCGCACTTACCTCCCAGGGTTGTTGTGAAGTTCAAAAATGAAATAATTGTTAAACATTTAGCACAGTGCCCAGAACATAAGTGCCATGTAAATGTTAGCTAATATTATTATTATTAATGTTCAGAAATCTTCAAATGCTCCCTACTGTCTCTTAGATAAAGTTCTAATTCCTTGTATTCAAAGGCTTACATAACCCGACTCCATTCTACTTTCCAGCTTATCATATGCGATTTCCTGCTACATATTCTACCCCTCAGCCAAACTGGATTATTTATCCCATTCTGCCCTCTCCTCTGAACCCTCAAACATGCCTTAAGCTTTCCCAAGCCTCCATGCCTTTCTGCCTACTATTCTCTATACCTGGGATGTGACTTTCCCTGTCCCAGTTCCTGAATTCCTGCCTACCCTTAAAAGTCTAACACAACATGAAAGTCTCCTTGATTTCCTCAGTGGGTAATGACAAACCTCAGACCTTTGGAAACATTTTATGTGGGACTCTCTAACATGTTGATCATATATATTAAATCTGTGTATGTGTCATATCATGTTACCGAACAGCCTCATGAGAGGAAAGATCATGCCTTAACTGAACTTTGTATGTATTTCAGTGCTTAGCAGAAGGCTTTTCATACTATAGGTGCTTAATAAATATTTACTGAATTGAACTTCAGATTAAAACAAGAAAAGGTATCTAATATTTTTGAGCTCTAGAGCATGTCAACAAGTTCATCAAATGAGTTAGAAGCTATGACTAAGGAGGTAAGAAGTTATCAGATGCTGGGCTAGACCGTCCAGGAATGATATCCTGAGAATGACTAAGTAGAGGGCTGTGATGCTGCTGCTGCTGCTGCTGACAAAGATAACAATAATTGTAATAATAAAGATAACTTGCTTCTACATCACACTCTCCTTCAACTGATTTTTGCAACAACCTTGTAAGGTAAGTAAAACCAGTATTATCACCCTCAATTTACAGATGAAGAAACTGAAGCTCAGGGAAGTTAAATTACTTGGTCAAGGTCACAAAACAATTCAAGGTCAGAGCTAAGACTTGAACCCAATTTGCTTTATCCTAAGTCCAGTGTTCTTTCCACTATCCTAGTCTCCCTTATAGAGGAGAAAAATGCTTTGTTTAGGGTCTTGGCTCCAGCTTCCATAAATGAAAGATCAAGGTTTCTAGAAGGCTAATACAGTAACCTAGGCACTCAAATCAACAGCTAGAAAGCTAGAACTAGAATAAAATGGCCATGCCCTAGGAAGATGCTGGGCAGAAAGGAGTCCAAGAATACTCAGCTCAGTGATTTGTGGTTGGTGCTTACCAGAATTAAATGACCAGAACTATAGATGGTTACTTATTTCATTTGTTATATTACTACTCCTGCACCTATATGTTTATGTTGCAGTAAAGCCTATTTTTTAAAACATAAGAAGTTGCTGTCTCCTTATCATGCAGCAGGGGATGGGAAAAAACATCTGGATTTGATAAGCTAGGAAAGAGAAAAGGAAGAAACTCTGAGACCTTGTCCCATAGAGGCTGTGGGTGGTAGAAATGCTAAGTGTGGTAGCTACCATATTGTCTGGAAAAAAGTGAAATAATCCCATGAGCCGAGAGTGCTAGGTTGGGGGAAAAGGGTGGAGGGAGGAAGGCAATATACCCCCTTCAATTTCCAGGCCTAGGGGCTGTGCACAGCATCTCACTAAACCCTTGGGGTATAATCCATTAGCTGTCCCAGGTTTCATAAATTCAGATCCAGTGGACCTTCCCCCACCACTGCCTACTAACAATATACATACCACACAAATTTCCAACTTCATGACTTTCTCCTGCTATGTCTTCCCCCTCAATGCATTCTTTCCCACTCATAGAATCCCACTTAAGCACAGCTCAGGGCCTATAACTTCCATAAATCTTCCCAAGAACTCATTAATTACCCCTTTTTCTAAACTCCTAAAGCACCTATTACCAATACCATTCATTCTGCTCTTTTGTTCAGTCATTAGGAAATTGTTCATTTCCTATTTCAAGCCAAATTAAAAGTATTTATTAAGCACTTAGCATATGTCAGGCACTATGCTAAGCTATGGTGATACAAAGAAAGACAAAAACAGTCCCTGAACTCACAAACTAATCGGGGGAGAAAAGATGCAAACAGCTAAGTACAAGCAAGCTACATAGAGGAAAAATTGGATATAATCTTGGGGGGAAGGAAGGCTGTAAACATTAACAAGGACTAGGAAAGGATTCTTGCATAAGGTGGGATTTTAGCTGAGACTTGGGGCAAACCAGGAAATCCAGGAAATGGAAGTCAAGAGGGAGAGAGTTTCAGGCATGGGGGACAGCCAGTAAAAACTTGAAGCTCTACACATCTTGTTTCTTTCAACTAAATTTTAAAGTCCCAGAGTGCAGTGATGAAGTCTTTTACTTTTCTTGCATGGTGTTTCTCTCAAAAACTAGTACAATGACACATACCTATCAACAGGCCAGGGAAGATGAGGCAGGAGACCCCTAAACAATAATGAAAGAGATAGCTCTATTCCCCCTGCCTAACTCAAAAGCAATACATCAATCAGTCAACGGAAGGCTCAGTGCCAACTATGTTTCAGTGCAGGCAATTTTTTAAGGGTCAAAAACAAGCTTGTGAGCTTTGAATCTTGGTGTCAAAACAAAATGAATGAATATAAAACAATTATAGAATAAAACATATAGACTCTAAGCAATAGAAAGCTGAGAGAGGGTCATATAGGGCAGAGAAATCAAGAAATGTTTCAAGGATACAGGGGAATGTAGAATTGGGCTCTCAAAGATGGGTATGATTTGAAGAAAGAGGGCCAGAGAGAAGCCAAGTAGAGGGACAACATGATTAATGGCACAGGTGCAAGGAAGACACTAAGCAGGAAACGTAAAAGAAATTGTCTGGACTGGCACAGAGAGAGTACACCTTCCAGGGAGTCCAGGAAAGTTAGTTTGGTTAGAGAGAGTGAGACAAATTACAGAAGGACTTAAAAGGTAGGCAAAAGAGTTTAAAACTCTAACAGGAGTTCCTAAGTAAAGAAATTAAATGAGGAAAGGAACGTGTGAGGCATAACGCTCTGACAAATTGGTTTGGAGAGATGAGTGACTACCATCAAGAAAACCAAGAGATTTGAAATAATTCAGACATGAGGAAATGAGGATCTATCCTGGATGGCAGCAGTGGGAACAGAGAATAAGGTTGGGGGAGGTCAAGAAATATTTCACAGAAAGAATAGATGATTCATTGATTGACTGGATATAGAGTATTAGGCTAGTTTCTAGACAGATAGAATAATGTTCCCACCAACAGAAATGGGCAAGTTGGGAAGAAGGGCTAGTTTGGAGGCAGAAATAATAGCCTGGTTTGGGAGAGACTAGGTTTGATCCTACAACAGGTCATCCCACTGGAAAAGTCCTGCAGGCAAATGTAAATGTGTAACTGAAGTAAAGGTGAGTTATCAGAGGTGATGCAATGTGGCTTTGTGGATCATCAGCATAGAAGGGATAGTTAAAGCCTTGAGACTTGACTAGCTCTAGGAAGAGAAGAACAAGGAGAAGAGGACAGAGCACTAAGGGACCTTACAGTTTGGGACATGAAAACAGTAAGAAGAGAAAATTTGGACTGGACAAGATGTAAAAAATCAAAGAAGGATATACTTTCAGTAAGGGCTGTACCTTCCAAATGAGGCACTGATGTTAAGAATCATTAACAACGAAAAAGACTGTCAGTATTAACCTTCTAGAACAGATTTCATACAGTAGTGGGGATGGGTGTTAGGATTTTAGTAAGGGCAGGTGGAAGCAGTGGATATAGGTAATACATTTGAGAAATCTGAGTAAAAATGAGAAATCTGAAGGGAATTAAGGGGCAACAGGGCAAAGCAAGAGAGTTCCTTTGTTTTGTTTTCTTTTAAGATATTTAAGGGCAGATCTATCCAAATCTGAAGACAGAAGGGAAAGGGCCAGTGAAGAGGAAGAGAATAAGGATGCTAAAGAAGAAAAGAATATTCATGGGATCAATGTCCTTGAAGAGGTAGAAAAGGATAGGCTCCAGAGAGGACAGATGTTTGGTTAGCAGCCCTTTTCCAATGGCTTCAGGGATTTGGAGTTAGGGAGAAGGCACTTTGAAGAGGGTTTCCTAATATACATTTACCCCAAGTGACTCTCTGAGCTAGTTTTTACTCACTCACCTGCATAAATGCACCTTGAGATTTCTTTTTCCAGGATCCATGGCTCCTCCCCTTGCTCCAACTGGGAGATCATATTGGGTTTGGAAAAGGGATACCCTGAAAGAGGAAAGAAATGGAAAACAGTTATTTGTGGAGGGATAACGTCATCTCAGAATTAAATTCTGGCCATTTCCTCTTCAGGAACGAAAAGTAATGATATTAGAGAATAATGCAAAAGACTCTTCAAAAGTACTCAGCATTACTAGATGTTGCTAGAAAGAGAGGGGAAGAGATGATTTTAACTTGGAAATATAATTTGGCTTATAAATCTCTCTCTTTGTTAAAAGAATGGAAGTCTCCCACATTTATAGATATTTTCAGTGGGACTTTTGGGGAAAATTCTTCACCTAGGGAAGTAGATGACTAAAAAAATGTACACGTACAGTAAAAGTGTTTATGTAAAGCACAATGAATCAGTCACATCCAGTTCCATAAAACAAAGCCCTTTCACCTATGAACAGAGAGCAGAAACATCGAGACTACTGATTGCAAAATGATCACAAGTCTTTAGCTCCTGCACCAAAAAAACAAACGAGCCTCAGCTAATCAATTCAGAGGCTCCACAGCTTTTAACAATGGAAAAATTAAAGAAACCCAAATAGGAAAGTTCAATGTCATGGGGAGAAACTGCCCTTACCTAGAAAAACTAGGTTCCTGTAGTTCTCCAGCATCACCTCCCTATAGAGGTTCCTCTGAGCAGGATCCAGTTGTCCCCACTCCTCCTGGGTGAAGTCCACTGCCACATCTTTGAATGTCAGGGATTCCTGAAATAGCAAAGTCAATTTCACTGCATAATAGTATGTTAACAATATATTTACTATTTCTGTCTGTCTACATTTATTTATGAGTTATTTTGTAAAACTGATGTACAATGCTGGGAAAAATAGGTTAATTCCTTTAGATTGCATTCAATAATTGTCGTAAGTTATCATATTAATTTTTTAAATATTCTTTTCTGACCTTTAACTTCTTGTTTTTATTATATTTTTCTACACTGGAGAAAGGCACATTGAAATCCCATATAATTATTGTCTTACTATCTACATCTTTGTATAATTTCAGTTAGTTTTTCCTTTAGGTACTTAGGTTCTACACCATTCAGAACATATATAGTTCATAATGATATCATTTCATTATTTCTGACACCTTTAAGTATACGATGGTTTCCTTCCTTGTCTCTCTTAATCCATCCCATTTTTACTTTTGCCTGAGATCAAGACTGATAGGACAGAATGCTCTTCTTATCTGATGTTAGTTAAATTCAGAATAAAATAATAATAAATACAGCTACTCCAGGTCAAATCTAACCAAGTCAAAGAGAAGTCACAGTATGGTTAGTCTGCTCCCAACTGGAGGGATTGGAGGGAAATGGACCTAAGATAGTAGAGTGGTAGGGGACAGTGTGGTGAGCTCCACTCCACAAAATTTTCCAAACATATCCAGAAAATCCTGATAGGGAAAGCCAGGAAAAGTCACAGTGAGTCATTTATACAGCCCAGCTTAGCATAGGGAAACAGAAATAGAGTTTTCTGGACACTGGAGACCGGGTTGGACAGGAGCATGCTATATATAAAGCACTCCGGTAACCAGAAGGATCCTGTGCAGTAGGACCAGAGGAAGTCTCAAACTCATACCAGGACTCAAAATGGGGTACTTCACTGGGGAACAGGTATAAATTGGCAATTTTGTCTCCTACTGCCTAGTTCTGGGTCACAGATCCAGGGCAAACTTCGAAAGGGACCTGTACATAGGGGTGGCATTCCTCAGTAAGGAATTCCTGGGTTCAGGAATCAAGAAAGGAGAAAGCCAACAGCAGCAGGAGTGGTATAGCTCAGACCCAAAGCTCAGAGCACTTCAGCCTCTAGCCCCGCCTGCAGAGAAATAATCAGGGCGGGAGCAGACAAAATAGAAACTAAATTCTGCCACTTTGAATCAAGAGAGCTTTCCAGATGGTTAATGGGAGGAAATCCAGAAACAACTTACTCTTAAACAAACCCAAACTGAGGTCAGAAATTTGCAGAGCTCAAAGCAGAGGAGCACCAATTAGACTTTGCCCTGGATCAGACCATTTTGGGAATCACTGAAAGCTTGCATATCACCAACCTGTCCCTGAGATTCTTGAACAATACAAAACTCAGTAACTCAAGATGCAGCAACAGGATCAGCCTAGACCTTTTTTCCAGAAATGCCATAGAGCTCAGCCCTAATGTCAAGTCTGAAGTCAGTAAGTAGGCTGAAGAAATGGGCAAACAAAAAAGAACTCCACTATAGCGAGTCATTATGATGGCTGGGAAGCACAAGACACGAACACACAATAATAAAATGATGCCAAAACATCTACAAATAAAGTCTGAAAGAAAAACACAGCTGGAGCACACGTTCAACTAGAATTTCTGGAAGAGATGAAGTAAGAGTTAAAAAACATTTTTATAAGTGGAATGAGAGAATTTGAGGAAAAAATTGGAAAAGAAATGAGACTTATTGAAGAAAGAACAAAACATGCTACCCATCTCCTGATAGAGAGGTGAAAGACTCAGAATGTAGAATGAGACAAATATTTTTAGGACATGACCAGTGTAGACACTGGTTTTGAGTGGCTATACATGTTTGTATTGGGCTTTGCTTTTCTCATGCTCTCACATGGGGAAGATTGAGAAGAAGGATACTGGCTCATTAAAACAAACAAAAATCATTTTCTAATCTAGGGTTGGGTTTCTCAAGGCACATTAGTGTTAGGACAAGGGGATAAAGGATTCCAGAATGGAAGCTAGTGCAGAGTTGAGTTGGTTCACCAAAGAGTTTAGATAGTGAAGGGAACAAAGAATAGCCAGCGAAGGGATATATAGAATAATGTCTGTATTATTAAAGGGATGGTTTCTGAACATTTTAAAATAGAAGCAGTGAAAACCAAGAGGCACCATGACTTCAAAAAAACAGATCAAGACAAACTAACCTTACTTTCTTTTTTAACAGAGTTATTAAACTGGTAGATCACAGAAACACCAGAGACACAGATTTCAGCAAAGTATTCAACAACATTTCTCATACTATCCTTGAAGACAAGATGATACTATGGTCAGGTGGATTCAGAAGTGGTTGAATCACCAGAATGGAATAGTCATTAATGACTTCCTATCAACTTACGGGAGGATCTCTAGTAAAGTTTCCACAGAAATCTATTCTTGGTCCTACCACTATTTAACATTTTGCTTTTAACAATGTGACCACATTGGTAAGATGAAATATGCAGAAAAGGATGCTCACGAGAATGAGGAGACTGGACATCATACTGTATGATGACTAGTATAATCCAAAAGAGAGAAGGCTTGGGGGACGTGAATGTTATCTTCAAATATGTAGAGAGTTGTTATGGGAAAGACAGATTTGACTTATTATTTTTGGCCCCAAAAAGAGAACTAGAAGGAAGGGGTGGAAGTTGAAAGAAGAGACAGAGTTTGGGTCAATATAATAAAGGACTTCCTAACACCCAGAAGCGTCCTAAAGTAAAATGGGAAGCCTTGAGAATTAATGGACTCCCCTTCACTGGAGGTCCTTCAAGAAGAAGATGAATGCCATTCACTGGGGATGTCCTAGAGGTAATTCTATTCAAGCACAGGGTGGATTAGATTGTTTCTAAAATAATGCATAATTATTGTATATAATTATATAACTTACATAATTATATAATTTTTATATATATATTAGTTAAATTCAGAATAAAATAATAATAAATACAGCTACTCCAGGTCAAATCTAACCAAGTCAAATACATAATATTATATATTATAATATATAACAACAATATAATATATTATAATAACAATGTAATACACAAAGAACATACTGAGGATTTAAATATCCTTTGTTTTCCCTATTCTCTCTCTAAGAGGACGTTGGTATCTATTTTTGCATCTTACACATTAAGCTCAGGAGCATTCCCATTACCTTGTTCAGGGGCATCCTCTCCAGATGGGATGTTCAATCTGCAATTCAAATCCGCATCCCTAGAAGAAAGCTGGCCTCAATCACTCAGACTGCAAGCTTAAACATTCTATTGAGGAACCCTGTGGGTCAAAGATATCAATTAGAGACAAAAGGAGGAACTCAACAGCCTCAGACACAAAACCTCAATCTCATCCTCACCACTCGTATCTAATCAGTTACCAAATTCTGTCAATTTCATCATCGTATTCCCTTTTCTATATTCTATCCTCTCTATTCCTACTTCTATCACCCTCATACAGGCCCTTACCAGTATCTACCTACCTGTTTTACCGAAATAGCCTCCTAGCAGATTTTGCCACTTCCACACTCTCTCCATCCAATGTGTTCTTCAGACCACAGCCAGATTGTCCTTATTCATGTAGATCTGATCAAGTTACTCCTCTGCTCTATACCATTTAAAAGCTAAAGTCCAAACTCCTAATATCTTGACATTCAAGGCCTTTTAAAATCTAGTACCATCCTACCTCTCATATTAACATGTGACAGTAACAGCCCCAACCACACAAAGGAGGCTCTGGCTCCTCTCTAGGCCTTTAGGTCACTGCCCTTATCAGACCAAGAGGTTTATAAAGAATGAAAGTTGGACCATTGTTCAATAAATACCTGAAAGGTCACCTGATGCACTGGCAATCACACCAGATCTGGAGAATGGAGACATTGGTTCAAATCCTAACTGTGACACTTATTAGTTCTGTGATGTCTTCTTGCAGCCTCATTTTCTTCATCTGCAAAGTTAAGATAATAATATTTGCATTATCTAACATGGTTTATTTGGGAAAGTGGTTTATAAACCTTACAATGCCATAGAAATGTCAGTTGTCATTATTACTACTTCTATCAAATATAGGTTCTTAGGGCCAAACAGACTGCACAGGAAGTCATAGCCAATCACAGCATTTAGTTTCAACTTCTCTTATGTACTATCATAATCTATTCATTATGTGTTGTATCTCCCTACTAGACTGCAAGTTCTGTGAAGGCAAGGATCATTTTTCTCATTCATAAAGGTATCTGGTACAATTCCAACATAGGACCCTAAATGTTATACTGAATTCTTTCCTGCCCCTCCCCTTTGTCCCTGGCTAAATAGACAGATATGTATTTATTTTACTTATATGTATGTGTGTGTGTGTGTGTGTGTGTGTGTGTGTGTGTGTGTGGTCTCATTAAGAAATTATGTATATTATAGAGGCTGTAGGTGTGTGAAATTTTTCTTAATTACAAGTCATTTCTAGGAAGTAATTCTCCTTTATCTGAGAGAAACTACAAACATTTTTAATTCCCAAGTTAACAGGCACCTGGTCTAAGGGAATTTGCTTCCCTTGCTAAAAGTAGACTCTTTACCAACATTTCCTAATGACTGTGATAAATCAAGAGAAAAATGATTTACAAAGAATTGTAGGATTGTGTAAGTCTTTATGCTAGAAGCAATTAGTTTATATAAGAATAGTCACAGAGAAGCTATTTTTATAATGATAAAACAATGAAAAAACTAGAAACAGGATGGGAATAACCAACCTAACTGCATTTTACTTCATGGCTTTGAAAAATTACAAACATATGCATTATATCAATACATAAGCAACATGGAATAAAGGAAAAGGCACTAGACTGTGATGAGCTTGAGTTCTGGCTGTGCCTCCAGCTAACAGACATCAGACAATTCACAGCACAGTGCAGTGTTAAGAGCACTGGCTTTGTAATGAAAAGACCTGGGTTTGAATTCTGATTGTGCTATTTACTTAACCTGTGTAATCCTGGTTAAGTTATTTACTTTTTAGGGACTTAGTTTCTTATCTGTAAAATAGGGGCAATAATACCTACCTACCCAAAAGGTTTGTTGCTATATAAATGTGTTATTGCCATTCTGGAATCTGTGACTCCAAGGTTGTAGTATTTTGTATTTGCTACATATAGAAAAATTAATTACATGGTGGTAATTAGTTTCTACATTATTTAGGTCAGTCTTCAGCTAGTCTTTCTAATTTGGAAGTTTGTCAATGCTTATACTCACGTCAATGTTTACACTTATCTCTGTATTATGAGGAGACATTTATGATGGACTTCAAAGGAAGATCTTTTTTGGACTGAAATAGGGAATTCCAAAAAAAAGAAATTCCTTCTACTAGGAAAGAAAAGCACCTTTTCAGCCACTTACAGTCTTAGAAAAAATGCCTACCACTCTGAGAAGTTAAATGGCTTTCCCAGGCTGACCTAGCAAATATGTGTAAGAAGCAGGACTTGAACCCAAGTCTTCCTGATTCCAAGGCTGCCTCTCTATCAACTACTCTAAGTTACCATTAAAAACAATAAGTAATAATAATAATCATTGTAGTATATTAATGTCTATAGGATCAATTTTAACCATGTACAACATATATTTAAGATCATGCCAGAATGAGAATAACTGAGTGGTTTTTTTCCTACTAAGTTATTTAATAGTTTTTTTTTAAGTGACACAACTTCATTTTATATTCTGAACCTTAAAGTCACTCAGGAAAATAAAATCACAGAAAAAAATGAGATCCCCAGGAGACCAATAAATACAGCACATTAGTTGTTAACTAAGCCAGAATCCAGTTATTCCAAGCTGTGGTATAGTCATTAGGCTTTGTGGTTCAAATACTATTACTTTCCAGCTCTGGAATCTCTAGCTTTTACCTCTAGGATAAAATATGAACCCCTCTGTTTGGCACTCAAAGCTAGTACAATCTGACCACAACCTACCTTTCCAGTTTTATTACACATTGCTCATATTTGCAAACTCTACATTCCAGCCAATCTACTTCTTCAGTTGCCCATAACCATAAATGTCATTTCAATCCCTGTCGCCTTAATTTTGCAAAGGCTTTCTTCCAAGCAGAAAAAGAAAGACTAACTTTTGTCTCTGTACCCTGGCTTAATAAATGTTTGTTGGTTAAGTGGATCATACTCCCTCACCTCAGACTCTTCCCTAACTTCCTTCAAGGTTCAGTTCAAATGTCACTCCTTACAAAAGAATTTTCCTGATCTGCTTCTTCCCAGTTTTTAGCATCCTGCCCCCCCCATTATTCCTGATTTACTCATCTTTGTACATAAAGATATATGTAAAATCCAGGTCAGGAACTCTTTCTTTTTTATATTAGGATTCCCCAGTGCCTAACACAGTATCTGGGAACATGGTAGGGGTTTAATAAATATTCTTTGAATGAATGAATCTTAACTCTGTCACTAATTTACTGTGTGACTTAGCTTAAATCACTTTCTCTGTGTTTTAATTTCTTCTATCAATCAATAAACATTTATTAAGCACCTCCTAGGTGCCAGGCGCTGTGCTAAGCGCTAAGGATATAAAAAAATGGCAAAAGACAGTCGCTGCCCTCAAGGAGCTTACACTCTAACAAGGGAGACAACAAAATTGCAGGCCGGTTATACTCGATGGCCTCTAGTTCTGAATGCTGTAGAACGGCTGGAACAAAACACAGGACTTTAAAAAAGCCTCTAAGACCCGTTTTCCTTCTGCCTTCCCCAACCCATCTCTCCTCCCAGCCTGTCCATAAGGAAGGTATCTTCACCCGTCTCAAGTAAAGAGGCTAAGGCAGTGACAGGTGGGCGGGATCAAACTCACTCCGAGAGGAAGGGAAAAGAGAGGAGAGGCGGGGAGTGGGCGGGGCCGGCCCTCGGCACATGCGCAGAAGGGAAAGCTTGTCAGGCGCCCCCAAGGTCCCTTTAATGCACTGCTTTGCTTACACCCTTCGGCTCCGGCCCCACCCTCAGCGTGGAGAGCTGCCCTGATCTGACTGAGGGGGCAGCGGGGAAGTCGGCTAGATGCCCGGGCCCCTAAATACCTGGTGTTTGGGGTCCCCGGGGACGAACTCACCACAGACAAAGGACGCGCCTCCGAGCAGAAGTCCCTACAAACCGCACAGGGGCTGCGCGCGCATTCCCAGGCAGACAGAAACTGCGCCTGCGCAGACACAATCCAAGACTTAAGCTACCTGCCAGAATCGTCCTTGGGGATCCGCCAACTCCTTCAGCGAGTCACGCAAAGACGAGCTGAAAGGGCTTTTTTTTTTTTTAAGCTATTAGAATGTTAGAGCTGGAAGGAACGTTAGAACGATAGAATGCTAAAGCTGTAAGAGCTTTAAAGCAAAGCATTCAGCATCAGACCTGGAAGAGACTTCAGTATATGTTTACTAAGTGCCTACTAGGGCATAGAATGGTACAATCAGTCGACAGATATTAAATACCTACTGTGTGCCAGGCTTTGTGCTAGGAGCTGGGCATAGAATATAATGAATGAAATAGTCCCTGTTCACAGACAGCAAGGATATGTACGTGTATATGTAGTATATATATAGAATAAATGTAAAGTGTCTCCAAAATCAGTGTAGTTTTAAGCTTGAATAACTTCAATCAATCAGTTAATAAACCTTTAAGTACCTACTGTGTTCCAGGTACTATGCTGAGCTCTGAGGTAGAAAAGGAAGCCAAAGACAGTCACTGCCTCAAGGTGCTTACATTCTAATGAAGGATACAATAAACAAATATATACAAATAAGCTATATATAGGATAAATAGAAAATACTTAACAGAGAGTAGATAATTATTTGAATGTTGGAAGTGAAAGGGATTGGGAAAGGCTTCCTTCAGAAAATTTAGAAATATCAATGACCTTAGAAAAACATGGAAAGACTTGCACGAAATAATGAAAAGTGAAATGAGCAGAGCCAAGAGAACATTGTATACAGTAACAGCAATATTGTTTTAAGAATGACTTTGAAAGAATAAGTAATTTTGACTGTTATGAATACTTCAATTAGCTATAAAGGACAAAAAAACTATAAAGGACATATGAAGAAAGACGTTATCTGCATCCAGAGAAAGAACTGATAGAAGTATGTATAGAATAATTTTACATAAATATACCTAATTGGTTTAATGGCAGCCATCTCTGAGGAGGGGGAGGGGAGAAAAGGGGGGAAGGAAATTTACTTGATAACTTTGTTGTGTATTTAAAAGGAATAACAAGTTGTACATAGTGAATTTGTGATTTCATGTGTGATCATCTTTTTTTATTGTACTATGTTATAGAAATGCTTGTTGTATTCTATAACTTTAAAAAAAGAAATATCAGTGCTATAAATTTGCAAAAAGTCATTTGAAAGGTTAATTATGTACAATTTAAAAATATTGTTTCTTATTAAAATTCCACATAGTCACTGTCATGTGACTATACATCACTCTAGATATTTGAATTTTGTAACAAACAAAACAAAAAAAACCCCAAACTTTTAGCAGTTGCTGTTCAGTGACTAAAAGGATTTCATTTGTAACCCTGGCATAAGGTCACCCAAAGAACAAGTTTTAGTGCATATATTCAAAGATCAAGTTTTGACGTAACCCTACAAGAAAAATATTAGATCTATTTCTAATGGATATAAATCAAGTGACTGAAGTGGCCAGGCAAGAGGACTTGTATGGATTCACAGCTGTGAGACCAATATCACCCAGAAACTGTTTCACGGGCAATGCATAATGACAGGGTATCCCAACTTCTCAAAATTGAAAATTTAAACTTATTATCCCAAATTTATAAAACTAAAGAAGTGTAAAATAAATTTAAATAATTGAGCTTCAAAAATGATGTTTTTGCAAGTTTGCAGCCTTTATGCTAGTAAATTAAAGCTAGTAAAGCTTTAAACTGCACTAAGACTTTTGGGACACCCGAATAAAGTAGTTAAATACAAAGTAGTTTAAGAGGAAAGACACAGGCAGTTCAGGGTATGAGGAAGAGCTTAATGTAGTGGTGTAAGGACAATAAAAGCCATCTAATCTAACCTCTTCATTTTACATATCTGGAAACTGAGCCCCAGAGTGGGAAAGTAACATTCCCAAGGTTGCACATTGAGAAAGAAAACAGTCAAAGCTAGAGCCCAGTGACTGGTAGCCCAGGGCTCTTTCCCTAGAAGCTCCAGCCATTCATTTCCCCTAAGTCCTGATTGTTACCAGCAACTTTTCCCTGACCAAGTCTAGTAATAGAGTTCCCAAGCCTCTAAACAATCCTAAGCCCCTGGCTAAGCTCACAGACAACCCTGGGTGAGAGGGGGAAAGACTAAGAGAAGATCACTGATCCTCCCCTAGTCACAGGCCATACTCTCTGCCCTTCACATCTCCATAAAGACACAGCAGCTCCAGTTTGTCTCCATGGAAACCTTATAAGCCCCAACTCCAACTTCCTCCACCAGAATGGGTACCAGAAACAGCCCTTTTGTTGTGTAATGCAGATCATATCAGGTCTAGGGACTGGTTCAAGAGAGAGGTGGAGGCATGGAGGGGGCTGGGAGGTGGGGGGTTTGGGGAAACAACACACAGGCTAGCCAGAGCAATGCAGGCTCAGGAGCTGGAATTTTGCTTAGACCCTGACCCAGTTGTAGTTTGCAGAAAATCTCTGCCTCAGTAGGCTGGCTCTGACCTCTCAGAAGGTGAGTTTGTTGTTAATAGGGAAAGAATTGGGAATAAAAAATAAATCTATAAAAGAAGCCCAACAGTACCTGAAGATTATTTAAAAACATGTTATCTAGAGAGGCATATGTGTTATGATAGAAAGATCTCATATTAAAATGAGGGTTAGAGAAATAACCATGGTGTGGCTGATAAAGAGCACTGGGGTCAGGAAGGTCTGGATTGAAATCCTACCTCTGACACATACTGGCTATATGATTCTAGGCAAGAGACAACCTCTCTGTACTGCAATCAACTCCAAAGCTATAGCAGTTCCTCACAAGCAGCTGCCTACACCAGGAAAATGAAGAAAAAGGAGGAGGAGGAGAAAAGAAAACAGCTTTTTTCATCAAAATTCATTCTTTTCCCCCGTTTGTCACTCCCTCAAACTTTCCTATTTCTATTGAAATACCTATTTCCCAGTAACTCAGGATCATAATCCGGATTCCTCTTTGAGTTTTCCTTTTCCCTCACCCGATCCCCATGGCCCCTCTGAAACCCTACTATCCTGATTGGCTAATCCCTTTTTTTAGATTGCCATTTCTGGAGGGATGCCAGCCATGCTCACTTAACTCTGACTTTACTTACTCTTGAGATTTCTCCACCTCCTCGAGAAACACCTTGCCCCTACATAGGTACCTTTCCTCACGGCCCCATTTTTAGCCTCTCTTTATGTGTTAACTTTCCCCATTAGGATGTAAGCCTCTTAAGGGTGAGGGACTGTCTTATTTGCTTATATTGTACCTCTAGCACTTAGCATAGTGCCTGACATGTAGTAAGAGTGCTTCTATCTATCAATCTATTAGTTATCTTGTCATCTCTTCCTCCACGTCTCCTTTATCTTATCTCCAGATGACACTTGCCAGACACACTAGTCATCATTTAAGAACTTCCTAATTAGTCTTCCTGCATGTCTGTGCCTTTACACACTATCCTCCACACATTGCATTCATTTCCTACTCACCTCTGCCTTTTGTAAATCCTAGTGTCTTTAAAAGTTCATTAAGTATTATCTACATCAGAAGTATCAAGTTATGGTTGCCTTGGGCCTACAAAACTCCCAGTGCAACTTAAACCAGATTAAAATGTAACTGGGAAATGTTTAACAAAATAAACAAAAATACAATACAACATGGGGCAGTTAGGCAGCGCAGTGGATACGGCACTGGGCTTAGAATCAGACTCATCTTCGTGCGTTCAAACACAGCTTCAGACACTAGCTGCATGACCCTGGACAATCACTTAACCTTGTTTGCCTCAGTTCCTCATCTATAAAATGAGTTGGAGAAGGAAATGGCAAACCACTCCAGTACCCTTGCCAAAAAAACCCCAAATGGGGTCACAAAGAGCTGGACAAGACTGAAACAACTCAACAACAATAATACAACATAACGTTAATCTATTGTTTTCTAAGTCAAAGGGCTGCCTCCAGGGATTTGTTTCTGTTTGAATTTGACATCACTGTCTAGGTGAGTCACTCTTTATTCAAATTACCTTGCATTTTGCTCATCTGTATGCATATTCTATCATCTTAAAATGTAAGCTCTTAGGGAGCAGGGACTGTTTTATTTTTGGTTTTATATCCCTCCCACCTTCTCCCCACCCCCCACCTAGCACAGTGCTTTACACACAGATGCTTGATAAATGGTGGTGGTTGTCACCTTGGGACCTGAAGAAAGAACATTGGGATTGATTCCAAGGTCTGTCAGTTACCAGGCATGGGATTTTGAGCTTGTCCCTTCCCCTCTTTTGACCTTCAATCTCCTTATATTTAAAGGAGGATAACAATGCCTACCATTCCTACTTCTCATGGTGCCTGAATGATGTTCCACAAGCACAGATTTGGTCATGGCACTCCTCTGCTCAAAACCCTTCAGTGGTTCCATATCAACTACTGAGTAAACTTTAAATCCATGTGCTTGCCATTCAAGTCTTTCAATCAACCAACAAACATTTATTAAGTTCCTACTATGTGCCAGGCACTGTGTTCCACAATCTGGTTCTACACTACTACTCAGCTGTACGCAGGAGTCCAGCCAAATCAGACAACTCTGTGTCCCCAAACCCTCTGCGAACTCTCACACATCCTTGCCTTTGCTCAAGTTAGTTCCTATGCCTAGAATTCACTCTTTCTCCTTCTTCATGTGGGTAATTTCTAACATATATTTTAAATTTAACTACTACCTCCTCCAAGGTTTCCTGACCCCCCAAGTCAGTAATGACGTACTCTTCAACTTCATATGTGGTGCTTTCATTTGTATATACCCAAAGGATCATAGGACCATATTTTCTGATGGAAGGAACCTTAGAAGTCATGTGACACAACCCTATTATTTATAGATGAGGAAAATGAGGCCTAGAAATTGCTTTGCATATATTTTATATTTATTTAGCCATGTGCATGTCATCTCCCTCCAACAGAATATAAGCCCCTTGAGGGCAGGG